TATATATATATATTCAAAATTAAGCTATCGATGAATCGATTTGGATCGAACTAGTTTGAAACTAATTTGATTATGATAGTGTCATGAGTACCGTCGACTAATGAGTCGACAAAATTTGTCCACTATCGAAGGTGCAAATTCATCTAGGTACTTGTTTTCTTACCAACGTGAGAGATTCGGTGAGATGAAACTGTATAGTTAGCCCGATCAAAAATGGTCCTATCGATGAGGTCCCAATTCGAGATGATTAAATAAGCGATCTAGGATCATCTTCTTAGCTACAAGGTACCCTCTCAGGATCGGATCGTTCGGGTATCCCCCAGATATGTATTATCTTGAGTCGTCTCTTGACCGTCGACAATCCTATATGACAGGTCAACGCTAGGAGTTGTTCGACGCGATCCTTTCGATACTTAAGTCGGAGAAAACAATGTAAACTGTAAAACCAAGTAAGAAATATTTAACAAACAAAATTAAAACAACTCGATTTCTTTTCATTTTTTTTCCCAATCTTTTCTCTGTTTTAAGCTTACGATCATTAACAAGTGCTTGCAAAAGAGAAAACCAACTGTATTTTCAGCTTCAAAAGCGCGGGAGGGAGGAAAACAAATCTTACTGACTTCATTAGCGCTTCTTATTTTATTTTCTAAACTCTCCTTTTAATTTCGAAACTAAATTTATTAATTTTATTTTAACAAAGTATGATTTAGTTTTAATTTTTTATTATAATAATCTAATGCTTGTTGTTATTCGTCTCTCGGAATCTCTCACCAAATGATAAAATGATTTGACGATAAGCTAAATGATATGCCCAAATTTCATCATTAATTTGATTTTATGAAATAGATTTGATTTGTTTTTCCAAATATTATCACGTTTGGAGGAGAAGAGATAATTGAATATCTAGAACTTGGAGGAATGAAAATTATTTCCAAAGACTAAAAATATGTCTATATCTTATACCTCTTGCCCACTTTGGTTTGAGAACGAAAGATGTTTATATTTCATATTTCCCTTAGTATAATAGATTATGTCAAGTTTACATTACTTTATATAACATCATTTTTATAATAATCAATTTAATAAAATAATATATTCTTTAGATATTATATTGAGGTGACTTTCTTAATAAAGTTGATTGGATTGCATGTGTCCAATTCTTGATTTTTAAAAATAATGATTTTTTTAATATGATTGATCATGTAACTATGGTTAAGAAACAAAAGTCAATGAGTATGAAAAAAAGAATCTTATTATATTCTCTATTTTACTTTGGGACTTATCATTGTGATCCTAAAATATTAATTCGGAATAAGAAAAGAGAGAAAATAATTTTTTATCAATCGTCCTATAAAAATGTGCAAAAATAAATTTTTAAAAAGTACATTTAAAATATAAGCTAATTTAAAACATAAACATATTAATCTCAGATATGTTATACAATCATAATTTTAAAAAATAGTCATCTTATATAATCTAATTATCCTAATATTTTGTACTACCAAACTATTCCCTCAACATAAAACCTCAATAGAAATTATAATAATGTTGAAGGTATTATTAATTACATGTGTTACGAGAAGATATCGTGGACGTTTAAGTTAGCCCAACGTAGTTCAGACCTATGTGCTAATAGTTACTCGAGGTGATAACGTTGATCTCCTAAGGTGCTACTTGAATAAAAATTGAGATCAAAAGAGGTTTCTTGAATTAATTCCTTTGAAGTTCTTAGTAACATGAGGCAAATGAGTGCAATCGTCAATGGTAAAAAAAATGACATATTAACTATGTTAAAAGTAATCCTTTATATTTGATAATGAATGAATGACATATTCTATGAAATATTTCTCAAAAAATAATTTTTAATTATCTTTAACAATCTAGATTTAGCTTGTTTTGCGTAGGCAATAAGGACAGAGATAACCCATAACTATTTGTATTAGAATGATATATCTTTTATCTATTTCTAGCCTAGACATCAAAGAATACTTATGTTTGATCGATAATATCCTTTCTATCAATATAAATGATATTATCTCCGGGGACCTCCATTTCTCATGAACAATGGTTCTCGAGAAATAATAAATCCATTTCAGTTATTCACTGCATGCCATTAGCAGAATAAGGAGGAAGATGAAAGATAGTAAGCATTAGCATAGTTGTGAAAGTATGTATGTGTTCAGCCTCAGGTAGGATAATTGCTACACCCAATAAGTTTGCCCACAACCTATATACACTTGGAATTTAGGCAAGTCTCGTAATTGCTACTCAACGATCTGTGATGCATACAGAGAGACTCAACCACAACCCATTTGGTTTAAAGAAGGCAAGCATCTCCCACACAGCTTTGATAGCCTCTTCTAAACATCGAAGAGTGCATGGAAACCTGTAGGCACAACCATGTCTGTAAGCCAAAGGAAACCTGTAGTGCATGGAAAGCTGAGAACACTTTCTCCTTTTGGTTAATACACCAAAATTATGGTGGTTCATAAAGTGATGTTGGACCACATTATCACCTAATTACTGGCATTAAGCTCATATTAGGAACAGAGAACCAACTTTACAGCCATCATAACAAGACAAACATTTGAAGGGGACAAAGTACTATGCAAGTAGAGAAGAAAACAGATATGTTTCAGTTGTTGATTGGATGAAGCTTCAATGTTGCTATTCTCCCCTAAGATGATTCCTGTGACAGTACACTCTCCCTCTCACCACCTCAGAATAAAGAGTGGCATACAGTGACCCCCACTTTGTCCTAACTTCAACTGCTCACATAATTGTGTTTTGGATTGTATGTAAAGCCTCCAGAAACTGGTAGCACTAGTGGACAGCAAAGAGACAAAGCTCAGAAACCCGTAGGCCAAGAAGATAGATACAGTGGATGCAACTTCAACAAACAAAAGCTACTGCTGTGTTACTACCCTACCGATGCAAGGAGACAGCTCCAACCACAACTAAGAACTAAGTGTACAGCCATGGGTCTCTGCTTTTAATGGCTGGTGATGGTACGGTGGTGGTGTGAGGGTGGCAGGCGGAGACAATGGGCAGGCCTGAGGCTGAGCCATCAGCTAGCTGACCTCTCTTCTTCCCTGGGTAGATGTTGGTGCGAGTTTGTCATTTTCCACAGCAGCAACGAAAACCTGATGACAGCCAGTCTGCTAGCTCAAATGGTCGGATTTCTAGGATAAATTCTGGAAAATAATACAGATATTTTTCATATTAGTGAATCAGATATATGGGAATCATCTATCGCCAATGCATCGACCAACCCTTTGTTGCACAGATGGCGACGGATGCAAAAGAGGATTACTATAACATGGATTCTATTTGAGTAGCAAACCATGAGGCATCGAAAGATATCAGGAAGCGATCGCAAGCCTCGGCTCGAAGCAGAAGCCGGTAAAGAGCTGCAGGGGAAACCTCTTGCTCACCGGGCTCTTCGCCGACCACCTCCACACCCTCTGAGTCACGTCAAAGGTCAGCAGTGCCGGTGATCCGAAGCTCTGGATGTAAATGAGATCGTCGGCGCCGCCGCTCGCGAAGACGTCGTCGAATTCGCCGAACCCCTGGAAGAACTTCTGCGGCATCCGAGCCACCTCTCGCCATCCCCTGTTGTGAAGCTCCCAGATTCCGATCCCCTTGATGATGCCCGGTCGATCGTGCTTCCCGATCCCGCCGACCATGACTAGCCTGTCTTTGAGGTTCATCAGTCTGCCGCAGGTCAGTGAACATGGCACCGGGATCGCCATTTGCATCAAGGATGTGCGGGAAGGCCTGGCCGACAGGTCATACATGGCCAAGCAATGGCGCGGTTCGACGTTCCTGAGCACGCCGGTGGAGTAGATCAGGTAGTACAGGACTCCGTCGCAGATCACGCACTCGTCTCCTCCCCTCCAACCCACCAAGATTTCACTGAAGAGAGTGGCCCATGATCGAGTCCCCGACTCGTAAACGTGGATCGACAAGCCCCACTGACAGTAATCCTGGGGCGCCTGCTTGCACTTCGCCAGGGCGACGGTGTAGCTGTGCGCGCTCCTGTCCACCGACATGGCGAGCGCGGTGTAGTCGGGGGTCTTCCCGCCGGGGGCGTCGCGCAGCCGCTTCCGGTCTCGCGTGATGGGGTTGCAGACGAAGATCCGGCTCCCGTTGTCGCCGTCCATCAAGCAGACCAGTCCGCCGGAGGCGGAGACGGACCAGTTACTCCTCTCGATGCAGGGGAAGTCGAAGCCGTACCACTTCCGGAGGCTCGGGTCGTAGACGTAGCCCGACACGGCGTCGTCGCTGCAGGTGAACATGAAGTACCATGGCTTCTGAGGCGACATCTCGGCCCATGAGTGCCACCCGGAATGCACAGCTTCGTACCATCGTTTGCAGACGGAGCTCGACCGGATGATGCTCGCTATGGGCAAGAAGGAGAGGACCTTCTCCAGGAGGTCATCAGGCAGAATGGCGTCCAAAGAAACCAATGCGTCTTGGTCGTGGTTGTCGCTGTCCTCGCGGATCGGCTCAAACTCCGCAACCCGAGACTGGTGGTGGGAAGTAGGATGAAATTGCCACGATGTCTGACCCTCCATGGAAGGCGTGTGAGCTCACAACAAAATCAGGAAGAACCTGAAAGAATGCACGGAGGTATCAAGTGAGGAAGGAGAAGAGGAGAGCCGCATTGGAGCTGAATACATCCCAAGACTAATCAGATGGTAGCAGCAATGCGATCAGGACTGCAAACAAGCAGAAAAATCTACGAATTCTTTCCTTTTTCTTGGGCTGCATCTGATAAAGAGATAAAAAAAGGTCAGGCGAGCACAATTTCTCAGGGAACCAAAACTGTGATACCAAACAAGTGCAACTTTCAACGTCGCAAAAAGAAGAAGAGCTGCTCCATGGTATTTGGGCTGACACGAAAAAGTGGCGTGTGAGCGATCTCCCACAACCACTATAGCAATTAGCCATACAAAACAAACAGATGCGACAAGCCATCGTTCGCTCTCCTCATCAAATCATCGAACACCTACAACACCTTTCCGCGTTTCCCAGAACGTTACAGCTAAAAATACCACCAAATATCATGGAACGAACACGATGTTTACACCATCCATCAGGAAAGACTGAAACAAGAAGAGCACCTAAAATCCAACCTTGGTTTTGATGATCCATTCTTTCTTTCTTTTCTCCTCTCTGAAATATGTTACTCTGTTCCCTTGGAATCAACAGAGGGGGGGAGGGGGAGTCCTAAATCTACTCTGCCATGGACAAAGATCAGCACTGACGAAAGGAGAGGAACAGACGAAACAATAGGCCATGGTTCAAGACATGAATGGAGGGTGCAGGTGACACCATAAAGTAGGTGCGATGGAGAGGAGGAACGTGGAAGGAGTGGCGTGTGTTGTGTCTTAATATACATGCTGTGGATGCCACTCTATATACATGTCTGAATCGTCTTAAAGCAAAGCTTGTTTGGACTCATTCAAGGATGTGATGGCTACCTGTGCCACGAAATTATCCTTCCTTTTTGTAGAAATATTGCGGAAAGTTGACAGGCCCTAAGTGCTGTTTTAGCACACAAGGATGATGGGATCAGAGCATGTTTCTCGTCCTACCTTCACCTCCTCCTCATGTTTCCGCAGTTCCCAGAACAGTGAAGTTGCTCTAAGACCTTAGGTTTGATGCTTTGCAGCAGTATCCTCCCATCCATAGGCACTCGATTCTTGAGTACGAAAACCTTACCTTAAAAATAAGCCATCGATCTCGAGGATTGTGATCCTCATCTTGCTCTTCCTCATAGTTGGAAGACTATGAGGACTGTTACTGCCGACGGATAATATCGTCTACATTCTCACATTTTTCACATCAGATTATTCGAAGACATCGCTTAGTAAGGGCTGCACCAGACGACAACCACATGTCTCTGTGTCTTCTCTTTCCTTTTGTCACCCTCCTTACATCAGAAGAAAAGAAATCTACTCGAATGAACAGTTTAGTTCGACTCTCAAGGCATCATACAGTCTGCAAAGACGGAGGAGGCGATGAACAGGGGGGGCCTGTTTCATGCACGATCGAGAACCTTCACTGACACCTGACGTTTTCGCACATCAAAAAGAAAGGCACTAAAGCTGTGAAGCCTATCGATGCAGCGATGAGCGTGCGCAAAGTATAGCTTGTCTGAGTAAAGCCAAGTTTCAATGGTGTTAGTGAGGAAGTCCACAAAGGCTCTTTGCCTCCTTTTCCTCGAGACGAGCGAGATCTCCATGGATCAAGAAAGGAACCAAGTGTGGTCACATGCATCACAGCTTCCATTAGAGGTGGATATTGCTAAACAATTGGTAATGTGGCCACAGATCTGTACTGTACGACAAAGATGACAAGCCCTCCGCCACTAATGCCTTTTGGGTGGCTTTGGCTTTGGCTTTGGCTTGGTCTCACCTACCAGAATGACATGTTAAACTGTGAACTACAGAGAACTCATTGGTGGTACCAAACCCACTCCTTTCCGACATTGCTAACTCTCAGAGTTGGAGATTGTAATGTCATACACAGATGTGGCCTTTCTTTCATCGAGGAGATCCCACAAGCTTTACTATGGGATGGAGACTGCAATATTCAAAGTCCAGATCAGACCATGATGCCAGTGCAAGAATGAGTTGCAGCAATTAGAGCAAGAGACATGCATGCCTGTCCAAGCACTTGACAAGCCAAAAGGAAAGTACCGAAGAGTTGATGGCCATTTCAAATGGCATATAGCACGTAAGCAAACACATGCAACAGTCCATTCCCAAGTGTAGTGGGTGCAAGACTAACACTGACAAGGGTACGTACAGAACGAAGATCTAATTAAAAGGAGAAGTCAATCTTATCAGAGGAGAATCATTGCAAGGTTGACGAGATTTGGGATGGAAAATATGAAGTCCGACTTGAGTGCGTTTCATGGTGGATAGATAGATTTGCTTCAGACGCGTCGGGAGAGAGAGAGATCTCGAATCAATTCATCATCACCATCATCATCATCGTGGTCACAATGTGCTGACCAACAACTGAGTTGCAGAAGAATTCAATTGGGTAAAGGAACCTGAAAAGAAAGAACTTGTAGTCCAAAAAGAAGAATCTTTGGGGTGGCGAACAAGAGTCGCCTGTGCTTATCTGCTTTTGCTGCGCCACCCCACCCAATAGCCCAACAACAAAAAAGAAGATCTGATGTTTTTTATAGTATGGAGATGGAGATCTTGTTCAGGTGAGCATACAAAGTCTTCGTGGTGGAAGATTTGAGATAATTGCGTGGCTGCTGTGGAAGTCAAAGACATTAACTTTGATGTTGAGCTCAACCCATCACATAACCAACACTACTGGAATTATAGATGGAATGTTATGAACAATATCAATGATGAATAGTTTCTATTGAGACATCCGTTCGATAATTAATAGATCTCATGTTTGAGTCCACTTCATGTATGCTTATAATAATTTTTTAATTAAAAATAAATAAAAATAAACTATGTATAAGTTTCATGTAATTCGGACTACTAGGCCGATTTAAATGAGAAAATATCTCATATAATTTTTTTACTCAAAAAAATAAAACTAACAAACATAAAAAACTTAAAGGAAGAATTTTTAATTGATACCAATAAATATAGATGATATGGCACAATTTACCAATATGCCCTTTGACAGCATATTATAGGCAAGACATCACCTAAAATTTGCAAATCGATGTGGCAGACCACGGCAACAACTCAGACAACACGACCATCCTCCCAACCTGTGTAGGGTCATACAAGCGGTGTTGTCAGGTATAAAGCTACCTCGGAAGGTTCAGAATAACACTGTTGAGTACAGAGCCCCCCCCCCCCCAGAATGCTCGGGATGGCGCCACTCGGGGACGATTCACACACGTCGATCTGAATGATATCATCGAGTATAGAGCTACCTCGGGATGATCGAGATGACATCGCTCGGGGGCAATCTGTACACGTCAACCATCGTCCGCGCACAAAAGTATGGGCCGACTGCTTAAGGAGTCGATGATCATTAACATGTGGGGTACGACTGACCCCCATATGCAGGTATAAAAGCCATTTATTACATAATTTTTATCAAAAATAATAAAATATATTCAAACATCAAACCATTTATTACATAATTTTTATTTAGTAAACAGATATGTCAACTCAAAATGTATCATTTATTTGAAGAAAAACATGTTAAAGTATATAAATGGTAGTTATATAAACATTTGAAACAATATATGAGACAAAGACACAAATCTTAGTTTTATATAGATTTAGCATTTTACTATTAAAATTTAGCATAATAAGCTTTTTGCATCTCATGTAATAATGCAAAAATCACTCTTAGATTCAAAGCAATAGACCCATGAAAAAAAAAAAGAAATTGTTTCTAGAAATTTTCTTTGCCTTGGCATAAAATTCATCTTATAACTTACGAACATTGGGAGGATAAGTGCATTAATTACGCATTGGCAGTGGCAAGATCCATGGTGTCATCTCATCATAAATCAATCATGGGCCGAGTCCAGATCTGTTCATGGGAAATGCTGGTTGGGCCGAATCAACCTGCAGTGCCGATCCAATCTGATCGGTACGTGAATACTGGTCTGCATGATGTGTCCTCTCGCGAGGTCTTCGTTGGAAACGTGTCTTAGGCACATAAATGGATCCCTCGATTATTTCGAACATATAAATTGTTCATAACTATATATATTTCTTCTTCTAATTTTTTTAATATTTCATTAATTAACACTAAATCGATTGGAAATAAAATATAAATTTTAAGGTAATTTCTGTAATTTTTGGGAATAAATAAGGATTTGTTTTAGGGGTATGTTCGTGTGAGAAAGATATGGCAATGAAGCAGCTGTTGCCTGTCTCTCCTAAGTCAAATCCAACAACACATGTAACTGATACGAACGAACCATTTCTTTTTCTTCGCATCTCCCACTCTCCTTTCTCGTGCAGTGCAAAAGCCTTCCGCACAAAGCAAATGACTCACTGCTACTGCGCATTGGTTCAGTGAATGCGCTCACTCTTTCTTTCTCTCCGCACTATCACTGCCGTCTTTTTAAGCTCCCTCTTCTCTGCTGTGTTTCGCCCTCTCTCTTTGGGAGAAAAAGAGCATGTATGAGGAGGGACAGAGCATAAACGGTGAGGAAAGGTTCTATTGCAAGTAGTAGCAATACAACGATACCAACAGTTATTTAAGGGTCGATTTTTCCTCTGGCTCTCCCAACTATGGAATCCTTCAGCCTGCTCAAGTACTGGCGCGGCGGAGGCGGCGGCGGCCGAACCACCATCGCCGACGCCATTCGCTTTTCCACCGACACCCCCGACACCGTCGTCCTCCGCCCTTCCTCGGTGACCACAGATGACGACGGCGACGATGACGGGGGCCCCTTCTTCGACCTCGAGTTCACCGCCCTCCCCATTGATGACGGCGACGTAGAAGAGGGGGAGTTCAACTTCGAGCTATGCTCGGTCGGCAGCGGCAACGCCCGGGCCAGAGGAGGAGAAGGCGATGATCGCGTAATCGAAAGCCTCTCCCCTCCCGACGACTATTTCTTTAAGGGAAAGCTCGCGCCTTTGGAGCCCACTTCTATCGTGATCACCGCCTCCGAGCCCGACAACAAATCCCAGTTTCCAACCGTTTCCCTCCTCAAATCCGCCACCAAGTTCCGCATTTTCTTGCTCCGCCTCCGCAAGCCCAAATCCACAGCGGCCGCGGTGGCGAATGCTTCCCCGAAGCAGCAACCTCAGGGGGAGCGTCAAAGCAGGTTCTTCGTCAAGTTTAAGGTGGACGAGGTGCCCATAATCTCGCTCTTCACACGGGACAACAGCTCCCGGAACACTTCCTCCGGCAGTCGAACGGCGAAGCCGCAAGCGGAGGACAGCTCGGCGGCCACGACGGACGAGAAGAGGTTCGCCAGGGAAGTCGTCCAGAAGTACCTCAACATGATCAAGCCGTTATACGTCAAGGTTTCGAGGTGGCACGTCGAGAGGCTAAGGCTCCCCAGCGAGCTTGCGCCGGCTAAGGCACCGCCGCAGGAAGCGGCGGCGATCGGAGGGGGAGCCAAGGGATTCCCGGCTGGGCTGAGGGTGGTGGGGAAGCGGCTGGGTAAAAGCCGGTCGGCGTCGGAGGTCGTTGCCGCGGTACGTTCGCCGCCTCCGCAGCGGCGTGACGACTCTCTCCGGGAGCTCCAGGACGGGATCCAGAGCGCCATCGCGCACTGCAAGCGATCGTTCACCACCTCCGACCAAGGTACATAAGCCACCCCCATCCGGTGTCTGGTCACCATCCGCGTCTTTTGCTACCGAACTACCAGTTTGTCCTCCTCAGCTCATGCGCTCACTGCCATCGCAGGGCCCGAGTCACCGTTGGTCAGATCGAAGAGCGACCCGATCCAGGCAACGGGCAACCAGAATTGAGTCGCGTTCCGTGCGTTTCTCTCACGGAAAACAAGTCTCTTAGCAAAGGCTTTGTAAATTACAACTTCATATGAACTTTAGTTAAGACTTGAGTCCCCATTTGTGCTGCTACTGAGAGAAGATTACAGAGATTAAGAAGGAGAATGAAATGATGATTGGATGGAGAGATTGACGGGAGATGAAGAAAGCAATGATGAACGGCGAGACGACTGAATGCGAAGGAAGAGAAGGTAAAGATTCCCCTGACATTGGGAAAGCCGCGACACAATTTGCCAATCTCGTGACGCAACGCAGTATGGGAAAGCAGGGATACGCAATAGCCATAGCCTTTCCCTGCGTATCGTTGTAGGCTTTTTCAGGTGCCTTAGGAATCCGGCACCTTTTGACAAGCTTTCGGCAATGGAGAGCAGCCACCATGACCCAGAAGACGCAGAGAAAGAATGGACCTAAGACGCATGAAGATTTGAGCGAGTCTTCTGTGCAGGAAAAGGGATGGAACCAGCGCTCACCATCTCTCTCTCTATCTTTCACCCTTTCTCTTCTCTTTGTCCCTCTGGCCGATGCAAGATGTATCGGAGTTGGGGGTGATTTGAGAAGGTGTATCTTCCTCTATCAATCTGCAATTTGGTTTCGAATGGTGTAACTGTTAAGCAACGTATGGTGGTGTATCTCTGGAGAAGAAGAGTACAGTAGTGGAACAGTTCTGTTCCTTGTAGACTCTCGAGAGTTCGTTCCTGGTCACATCATCACCTTCTCCATGAAGGAGGAGAAGAACAATCGGTCATCTCTGTTCTTTCTCGAGTTCCTGGAGCGGGGAGAGTGAGCTCGCATTCCCATGCTTTGCCATTGTCTTCCACCCAAAACGACTCGTGCTGTTCTGCAACAAGCTTCAGCCAGTCGACGAAGTATAGATTGGCAATAGAAAACAACGAAGGAGATCTGACACGGGAAAGGCTTTGAATGGGAGCACATGGTGGCACTGCCGTCTCCATCTTCATACTGCAGCAAGCTCAAATAGTTTAGAGCAGGCAGTGGCGGCCTTCAGCATCACAACGATCTCATCCTATAAAATAAGCTCTCATGTCTTATGCTTATTTCTTGATCATGCTACGTGCTCCGCACAATTCCCACATAATCTATCAAGAATCTTAAAGCAGGGCGTGCTCCTCAATCGAGTCATCGTCTTCTTCCTTTTTTCGTTGTATTCCTCTAAAAATCGTCAGCCACCAAAGTTCATGAACCGACAAACTTCTCTTGCACAGGTGACATGAACCAACAATGTTCTCCAAGAACGTTACTCGATTCCCCCAACGAGTTGAAGGTTCATGAACTTTGCTTCGGTGGAGACAGTGACTACAATGCATCAGAGACTTGTGCATCAAATGGCAGACACTCGAGGTGAAGCTTGGGGACAAAACCAATGCATGGCTTGTTTCGTGGCGCGGGGAGAATGAATACTCGGAGATTGCAAAGAGAAGAAGATGCACCTCTTCTTGACAGTTCAACGTGTTGGGAAGCGGGCATTCCCTGTTTCCAAACCTGGTGATGTGCTTCTTTTATGTTCCAAAGGTGACTGTGACTGCCTCCTCCTCCTCTGGTCTGCAAATAAACCACAATTATTTTCGCTGATCTTTCAGTGACGAGATGCACTTATTCCTGAGAGTTTTTAGTGTTGGAGAGAAGATGGTCGTCGTTTACATGCCATAATTATGTGTTCGTTTCGTATTCCAAAGATAATACATTTGCTTACTGCACTTCTTTCAGTGACATGGCCATGATATATTTCATTAAATCTTACAGATTAAGAACGTTTTGGAGCAATCTAACTACTCCCAGATTAAGAATGCACCTTTAATACATCCAAAACGAACTATGTCTCCTTTGTTTGTAGAATCCTTTTTGAGTCTCTCTCTATCTTTTCTGGTTTTGCTTAAGCTTAGTTGAGTCATCTCATCTCCTTTGTTTCCATATCTCGGCAAATTGAGTGAACAGAGTTCTTTGATAGATCGTCGAAGGACTCTTTCTGATGAAAGGGAGAGAAAAATAATGTTCAAAGTCAACTCCATAACAGTATGGGGGGTACTCCAATTATCAGCCCAACCCCTCGACTCTGTTCTTCCACAGAAGATTCATTCCTATCTCGCACTGCTACAGCAACAAGAAGAAGAGGAACTGACGGTCATAGCCGAACTTTCTGATTACAGTTCTGACCCACGATCGACTGGTTGGCCACCGCCATGGTGATGCTGCAGTTCATCATCACGTCCACGTGGTGCTTGAACACGCCCAAGACCCTCACCCTCCCGCCCACCTTGGTCGCCGTCGTCACCGCGATGCTCCCCGCCGCCAGGTCGTCGAACAGGTTGGCGTCGCCCAAGATCCTGTCGGCCATCACGTCCACCGTTACGTTGATGCGGAAGGTGCGGCGCGCCCGGGCGGTGCCGGGCGGCCCGTAGGCGACGCCCATCTCGCGCGCGCGGTAGTAGATGGCGGTGGTGCTGGCGCCGAACCGGACACTGGCGGCGTTGGGGTTCTTGACGGAGACGTCGGCGACCACGGTCATGTTGATGGCGAAGAGCTGGGAGGAGGAGGAGGAGGGTGCGCCGAAGTTGACGGCAAGCTTCTCGATTGTGACGCTGTTCATGGTCATGACGGGCTCCTTGACCTTGAAGACGGTGAGGGCGAGGACGACGATGACGATGGCGATGATGATGAGGATGGCGGCCCAGGAACCACCGCAGATGAGGCAGCGGCCTTGGAGGCGGCTTCGGCGGCGTGTCATGGAGGCGGCCGGGAGTTCCTCGTCGTTGTCGGGGCGTTTGGTGCCGACGGCTAAGGGGGTTGCCTGCTCTGTGTCTGTGCTCATGGCGGAAGAGAGACAGAGAGAGAGAAGGGTACGGAGGTTGACGACAAGAAGCGATGTGCTAACACTACATCTCCATGCCAGCTTTATGAAGCGGTTGGTAGTCTTCGATCAGAAGTCAGCCCGACTCGAGTTTGATCGGCAATTAGAAACAGTTGCCGATCGATCGAACGGGTACGGTCCGGATTGACTTGAGTTTGCATCAAGATTGATAGAGTTCAGTCGACAATTGAGATGAGCCAAGTTGACCGGTTGGGACGCATCTGCACGCACAACACATGGGTTGTGAAAGCGAGCTCTCCGTGGCCGCCTGAGGGGACCGTCGCGTCCTCCAACCCGAAGAAGTGGCGTTTCTGACCAGAAATCTAAGTTGGCAGGGGTCGGAGACTTGAAGGAGGACGATGACGTTGATGCGGTTGGAAATAGAGGATGACAACATGACTCCAATTTTGTAGTATCAGCTTTGTTCGCTTCGTAGGCACTGATGCAGTGGTATTCCCTTTCTCTTGTTTCTGTTCTCGCTGGATGAACTGACCAACACGCAATTCCTACTTGTGTGGGAGTTAAGCGATGACGATGATAACGAAACGTAGCTTCTTTTCTGTTCCTCCTAAAGGAAAAGACGATGTGCAATTCATATCCATGAATGACTATTCCTTTGTACAGTGTGACTAAAGGAGGAAAACGAGAGAGAGAGAGAGAGAGAGAGAGAGAGAGAGAGAGAGAGAAAGGGTATATGCGACGTTCCTACAAAGAAAAATTAGCACACAAAAATGAAAACATTAAATCCATACATGACGTGAAATGAATATATCACCCAATCAATCTTCCAATTTGAACAGATGAGAGATGGAAGGAAAACAATGCCGATTTCCAGTAAACGCATACCCAAAAAAAGCCCAAAGGCCCAAAAATACGAACTCGAACCACCGAGTTTACGAACCCATCTCACACAGCACCACATCCTCCGTCGGCACTTAAGTCGTAGCGTAAGTCGGGCCAGGAAGCGACTCACTCGAGCGATAACGCAACCTTTGGACTCGGCGCACCATCTTGTTTCTCCGCCTTCCTCCCTTTCGCTCCCTCTGCTGTACCCGCTTCTCGTCCGGCCGTCGGAAATAGTGAGTCTCTCTGCCTCTTCTTTATAACTTCGGCGTCAGACAACGGGCTCCTCCGACGGCGGTCTCTCCTCAGCGGTCTTTCCACCTTCCCTTCCGCCACCGGGCTGAGGCGCGTTTGTCTTCCTCCGGCCGGCGGCAGCAGCTACAGAGGAAGTATATAGTGTGTGAAGAAAGATAAATCCTCCCTCAGATCTGGAATCGTCTTGTACACTCGGCCAGACTTTTTGAAGACGGACAAGTGGCGGCCGTATCCTCCCTCAGATCGGTTGGAAACTTGTAGGCTCATGATTCCATATTCTGTGCAAATACAGATGCGCATTCGATGGGGCGCTCTTGTCCTAGCGAAGCGGGCGGTCTCTTCCTCGCCTCAACTCAGTCGGAGACTAAAGCAAACAGGTGATAGGCATTTCTCTTCTCTTGCCTTCTCAGCGAAAGATTCATTTTTTCTTGCCTCCATCTATCTAGTGCTGGATTTTTTTATCGATCTTCGTTACGCTTGAGCAGAGAATGAAATCGTTCGGATGTTCAAGCTTCCGAGCCTTGAAAATGGCGGCATGAACTCGCTGACGGTCCGGGATCGTCAACGCCTAGGCCGTCCGTTGGATGAGAGGTTCTTGAGAATATTGAAAATCTTTAAATGGGGGCCGGATGCGGAGAAGGCCTTGGAGGTGCTGATGCTGCGGGTTGATCACCGGCTAGTCCTTGAAGTCCTGAAAACTGATGTCGAGATCGGTGTGAAGATGCAATTCTTTCACTGGGCCAGCAAAAGGAAGAATTTTGAGCACAATGCAGCAACGTACATGGCCTTGATTCGCTGCTTGGATGAAGAGGGATTGTTTGGCGAGATGTGGAGAACTATACAAGAGATGGTGAGAAGCCCTTGCATAATCATGCCGGTTGAGCTTTCGGAGATCATTCGCATCCTTGGTAGGGCGAAGATGGTGAATAAGGCATGCTCGATCTTTTATCAGATAAAGATTCGCAAGTGTGAGCCGAATTCTCATGCCTATAACAGCATGATCATCATGTTGATGCAAGAAGGCCACCATGAGAAGGTGCATGAGCTTTACAATGAGATGTGCAATCAGGGCAACTGTCTTCCTGACACGGTGACTTATAATGCGCTGATTATGGCATTCTGCAAGCTAGGTCGTGAGGATTCGGCTTTTAGGTTGCTCGAGGAGATGAAAGAAAACAAGTTGCAACCTACTACAAAGATCTATACTACCTTGATGGAAATGTGTTTCAAGTCGGGGAATGTGGAAAAGGCAATGAATCTGTTGCAAGATATGAGGGATCAGTGTTGTGTGCCAAATGTTTTCACTTACACGGAGTTGATAAAGGGCCTTGGGAAAGCTGGAAGAACAGAAGAGGCTTATGAATTTTTTCTTCAAATGCAAAGAGAAGGTTGTAAGCCGGACATAGTCCTAATGAATAATCTCGTGAACATCTTGGGCAAGGCTGGGCGATTGGATGATGTTGTTAAGCTGTTTGAGGAAATGGAAAGTTTGCACTGTGTCCCTAATGTGGTTACGTACAATACTGTCATCAAGGCCCATTTTGATTCCAAGGCACGCGTGTCTGAAGCTGCTTCTTGGTTGGAGAAAATGAAGGAAAAAGGAATCGAACCCAGTGCATTTACTTACTCAATTCTTATCGATGGGTTTTGCAAAACAAATCGAGTGGAGAAAGCCTTGATGCTTCTTGAGGAGATGGATGAGAAGGGCTTTCCTCCGTGCCCAGCAGCCTACTGTAGCTTGATTGATGCTCTTGGGAAAGCAAAACGTTATGATGCAGCAACTGAATTATTTCAGGAACTAAAAGAGAACTGTGGTTCTTCCACCTCTAGAGTCTATGCCGTGATAATCAAGCATTTCGGTAAGTGTGGCCGTCTGAATGATGCGGTAGCACTTTTTGAGGAAATGAAACAACTAGGGTGTGTCCCTGATGTCTATGCCTACAATGCCCTCATGTCTGGTATGGTAAGGATGGGAATGATGGATGAAGCACAGTCGATGCTTCGAGCAATGCAAGAGCAGGGTTGCGTTCCAGATATAAATTCTCTCAATATCATTTTGAATGGCGTGGCAAAGTCAGGTGGACCAATACGTGCCATGGAGATGCTCTCAAACATGAAACAGTCCAGTTTCAAGCCAGATGCTGTGTCATACAACACAGTTCTCGGTGCTCTTAGCCATGCTGGAATGTTTGAGGAGGCCGCTAAACTGATGAAAGAAATGAACTCGATGGGGTTTAAGTACGATCTAATTACATACTCATCAATACTCGAGGCAATTGGAAAAGTCGATGATGTATCTGCTAATTCAGTTAGCTAAAGACCGTGTACGATTCTCCTTCATCTTTTCTCCGGCTTTAGCTTATATATATAGCTGGTTTCACCAAACTCTTGCTTTGTTCTGGTAAGTATCATTACTGATAAAAGAAATGCTTTACAATTGTTTCAGCTAATTAATCCATAAAACTTCTCCGAAACTACCGTGATCGTGGTGCTTGATGAGTTATCCAGTAATTTGCTAATGCATGTTTCTTATCTGGGCTTGTTGTTAATTTAGCAGCAGAATTAGCTACAAATTTTTCTTCGGACATTGTTTTGTTTTTTTGTTCTCATAATGAGGTTAATACAGTCTACAAGAACAAATGTGTCTGTAGTAAGGATACCTACCGTACATGATTTATCGGAAAAGCCTCGTAGTAAGTTGAAAATGCATTTTCATTAGAATTATTAGCACCGCAGATTCTAGATTTTCGGAAAAGTTTTAAAAAATTCTGTCATCTTCGGTCTTTTATTTCAAAAAGAAGAACTAAAACACAGTATAAGAACTAGACTACTATGATGTGAAAAATACAATCACTAAGGAAGCCAACTGATACATTGAATCCATTTTTGTTTCAAGAACAACCAGCTAACCTCAAGAGAATAAAACACAAAAAGATCAAAAAAAAGAAAAAGAAAAATTGAGACAATACCTTGCTGCAAAAGCAAATGCAATTACATGTCTGGGCTATTCTACCATCTCAAAGAACAACTAGCAGCCTCATGTCACCAAAGCCATCGGATTTTTTTCTAACTAAATCTTTATTATAGTTTTTTTTAATAGAGTTATAATGCTTTAATACAATAATAAAAAAATATAAATTTATTTAAAAACATTATAACCACATATTATTATTATTATTATCATCATTATTATTATTATTATTATTTATAATAAATAAACATAAGTACCATAAGGTTTTCTAAAATATAAATATTAATTTAATATTAAGTGAAAAAAATGAGGATTTATCATCCTTTATTATGAAACACAGTAAAATGATCTTAAATTTCATCCAAAATCATTCGAAAACTCTCAGATTAATCATTTTATGAAACTTCAAAATTTATGATTTAATTAGTAATTAAGATAGATGGTGATTTATGATAACTAAACTTTGGCTATAATATTTTTGAATGGACTATTTTTAGAAACTAAACTAAGATACTGTAACTTGATTCGATCCGATGAAGTAAGATATTGTGCCTTTACTCATAAATACTCTTAGCTGATCCCTCGATTTGGTTGTTTGTGTTTCCATGGGAAAAGATTATTTTTTTATAGGAATGCATTTTGGATATTTGAAAAAGGTATGAACTCTTCTTAGGCATCATGAAAATAGTAGGTGCTGTTCCAAATGTAGATTGTTTTCTCGCGAAATCAACTAAAGAACATGATAGATATAATAATAAGAGAGTGAATATAAAAGATTTTTTTTCCACTTTCATCTTATGATATGACAAATATTCTTAGGAAAAATCAAATATGTTTTATTTAAAATAAAAAAGATATTAAAGATATCTTAATTTTTAAGATTCAATTGGTTTAATTAAAGACTTGGGGAAAGTTTCCCGGTATCATATTGTGAGTGACAAGTAATGATAGACCTTATTTAGAGAAGCATATGTGATATCCTTCTTTTGGCTTCAAAGAAATACTGACTGTTTCAACAACACTAATATTTCCTGCAAAGTGACCGTCATTTCTAACATAGATCATCGACCACAGGCAAACAAAGAGGTGAAGAAGCTCAGAAAAGTATCACAGCTCAAGGCAAAGATCATTCTTAAATGAACCGATCGAAGATTATGAACACCATAACAATAGTTCTTATTTATTGAAGAACATGAGAGAACCTCTATGGTCCAATGTAAGTCCAACTGAATCAATCTGCTTTCATTCTACTACATTATTTATGCATCAAATCAGACGACAGGAGTTAGAAGGGGCTTGTTCATCACATGCGCTTCCAGGTTTCCAAGGACCAAATCAGCCATTGCATTGCGAGTTTCATTCGTTCCACTTCCCACATGGGGCACCAGAACCACATTCTCCATGCCAAACAGCTCCTCCGGCACATCAGGCTCATGCTCGAACACATCGAGGCCAGCCCCTCCGAGGCGACCCTCGCGCAACGCGGTCACGAGCTCAGGCTCATCCACATGCGGACCTCGCCCGATGTTCACAAGCACACCCTTTGGGCCCAAGGCATCAAGAACCTCGCGGTTGACGATATGATAGGTCTCTTCAGTTAGTGAGCATGCCACAACAAGCACATGGCAATTAGCAGCCAAGTCAACAAGATTAGAGTAGTACTTGTAATTGGTATTCGGCTTCTCTGATCTTGAGTAGTAGCTGATAGGGCAACCAAAGGCTTCCGCTCTCTTGGCAATGGCTAAGCCAATCCTACCAAGCCCAATGATACCAATTGTTTTACCGCTGAACTGCAAACAAAAAGCAAAGTGAGATGTCAATTTCTTACATTAGAAGTTACTGGAAATATGCCCGAGAAAAATGCACCACAAAAGCATGGATAGACAAGAAACTCTACTATTTTTATCTTTCAATTTCAGGTCTTGTAAGTGAAATACATGTCAATCTGAAAACCACAAAAGCTTTCAACTGGATTTATTCCAAGTCACCTCCCACTTTTTGACATAACCTAATCCAACTCACCAAGATAAACAACTTCATTGGAAATAGAAATGAAAATACCATAAAAAATTATAATTAACCATCTGCATGGAGTCCATGGAAACCATACGCACTTTAACTTTCTATATAAAATGGTTTAAAATGCATTTATGAGACCACAATACCCAAAATATTTGAGCAAGAAACATAGCAAACAAATTGATATGGAAGAGAAGAAAATCGAGTATGGAAAGTGAGGACCAAGGAATGATCATGTTTCAGAGGGCCCAAAGAGGGTAGACTAATACAGGCATAAAGATGGAGGAACTTCTTGATGCTGTGAAAGAAACAAAAATCTCTTGACAGACCAAGCCAAGACCCTTTGAACAGACCAACAGAAAGTGGTTTACATGGGTATCTGTTTGGAATATAGTTGTTTATTCTATGGTGTATGTGGTGGACCGTTTTGTTCCAATTCTAAATGATGGTTTTACAAATCATCAGAATATCAAATTCTAAATGTATGTAACAGATCATTTCTGCTTATGATGAAAAGAGAAGATAAACATCTTAAAACTAAAAAGATCAGTTATAAAATTAGAAATTTTAAATAGCTGAAAATGATAGTGAAGCAACTCTTGAAGAAGGCATATTCCATGTTTTCATTCCTGTAAAATTGTGCCTAATCATAACCTCATAATGAAAAATAGCAGCAAAATGACAGGTTAACTTATGATGCCAAAGTTACACCTGATGAAAGTGCAACAAACATGAGTTCACAGAAGCAGTTATTTGACTCATGTGAGCCAATGATCTCTCTCTCTCTCTCTCTCTCTCTCTCTCTCTCTCTCTCTTCTTTTGCAACTATTAAAAGATTAAAAAATAATTTAAATATATGTTACTGAGGTCATTTTTGAAATTAATTAATTATTGCTTTATAAGAATGTTAATGCCTTAACGTTTACCATTTTGTAATGAGTTGTTATGATGGTGAACATGTTGACAGAAAGAAGTCTGAAAGGAGATCATATGGAACAACTATCCCAGCACAAATAAATCAGACATGTTAAAGAGGAAGATATCAGTTGTGGCCACTATAATCTGTTATAATGGTTGGAAGGAACGTGTCAACCAAAGGCAACACACGGGATTCTAAGATCTTCAAATATAAATATAAATGCAAACTGCATCTACAATCAAGGACTCAAATCCACCAATGCATCCCGAGATGATAAAAAATGAAATGAATGATACTTTGTGCCTTTACATTGTCCTCATTAACAAGATATCGCTAAGAATCTCAAAGAACTTGAAAAAATATTCACCAACGTCACAATGCCATGTACAAATTGGATTCCTTGATTTAGAGGTTATTCCAACAAGCTATCTCATTGAGATGAGTCCTAAATAAGATCTCATAGAGATTGTCTTTTATACACAAATTGATGATACACATTATATGACATTGTTATAAAATCTTGGAAAAATCTATCCAATTGTGAATCTTTGATGAGAATACTTAATTTCAGAACAATAACATTCCTCATGCTATATAATGTTCCACACGACTTTGTGATGCAACAGAAGTTTGGAAATAATTGCCCAATTTTAAAAGTTTGACAATGAAAATAAAAATGAAATCAACCAATGTAAAGAGATGGAAAAGGTATATACCAGATGTGAAAAGTCCAAAGTAGCTCTTATACTATATACTCCCATCAATAGACATACAAAGGACAAGATACACCTCTATGGTCTCAAATGCCTAGAAACAAATAGGGGCTTTTCATAACTGCAATATGTTTAAATCACGTGATCTCAACCCTCCCACAGACCGGGCTACTGCAACTCCAATAGCTAACATATTTCTTTAGAGTTTTAGGGACACCAAGGTTTGGAGAGCTGTATACATGAATACTTATACAGACTGCAAAGAGGTTTTGGTAATTAGTACGCTATCATACAATAACTGGTTCACACCTTAAAACTTCTGTACAGTGAAAAAAACATTATCTAAAGAGCTCTCTGTGTGGAACACAATATGACGCTATCAATAATTAAAACTTCTGTCCGCAAGGTTCAGAATCAATACCTCAAATATCAGATTTCTCATGTGGAAATACAAAAAAAAAATTAATAAATCAAACTTAAACATAACCGGTATAAGCGACACCTAGTTTGATCTGAAGGACTTGAACTTGATCGAACAAATTGACTTTTAGGCCTTTAATCAAGTGTGGCTTTATCAGCATGTCCAATCCAAAACAGCAACATGCATAGATAACATAATCATATCAAGTTTGCAAGTAACTAGATGTCACAGGCCCTTGCGAAAGATAAAAGGCATCCTCAAACATGTTATTGCTGGTTTGAGTGACATCCCTTAACGACTTGGAACGGACTTAAATATACATCATCCATTTCTACACCATCTGATCCTAAACCTATAGTTCGAAAGGCATGAACAAATGGCAGCAAGGCATTCTATCAAACATGTTATAGACTGAAAGAAGGAGAAGACAAAACCAAAACATCTCCTGGTCATCTGAAGCATTACCCTAACAAGAACATATTAGATATCGCGAGTAATTAATAAGATAAAGCGACTAATGATCTAAAGTAATATTCTACCAACGGGCAAATTACCAACAGGCAAAGCATTTCTCAGAATTCATCACAAGACAAAATTTTTTGTGTAATTATTACGAAACGACGGCAAGAGGAGGAGATGCATCTGACCCTGGTGGTGAGCTTGTAATCCCCCTTGGACAACCAGGTCCCGCTCCGGACGTACCGATCGGCCTGGCAAAGGCGGCGCAGGACGGCGATGGCTAGCCCGATGGCGAGGTCGGCGACGTCCTCGGTGAGGACGTCGGGCGTATTGGTGACCCGGATGCCCCGCTCCCGGCACTTGGCGAGGTCGACCTTGTCGAGGCCGACGCTGAAGCAGGCAACGATCTCGAGCCGGGGAAGGGCGTCGATGGTGTCCGCGTCAGCGCCAGCTTTGGAGTTGCCGACGACCGCCCGAATGGCGGCGGCGTTGGCACGGATGAAGTCCTGGCGGCGCTCGGGAGGCGATTCCCAGAGACGGAAGACCTTGTAGCGGCGGGCGAGCTCGCTCTCGAGGTAAGCGTTCATAGGGACAGGGAGGAGGACGCCCAGGGACTCCATCCGCCGCCGCTGCCGCTGCCGCCCGTAATCCTAACAGAGTGAGTGGGGATCAAGAGAGGTAGGTCAACGACAAGCACTAAAAAGCTCTTCTTTTTATTGGTTTCTTCGTATCAGGTGTTTTTACACATCTATCCTTTCCTATTAGGAAATAACAGGGCTTTTTTAGTAAATGACAAAACCCAATAAACCCTCGACCCCTTTTGCGCGTCATCCTCTCAATTTAGTCACCGTAACCCGTCGCCGGCCGGCCGGCCGGCCGCCCTCCCCTCTTCTTTATACCATACCCCACCCAGTGTCGTAATCCTAAACGACGGTGACTGCGGTCTCCTTCCACACGCCGACAAAGAAAGCTGGTGCGTGCGCTCTACTCCTTCCTTCGTCGAAGCTTCCTTCACGGCGTAACGACAGAATCATCCATCGAGCTGTCGTCAACCATCAGCGAGCATGTTTTTGTTTTTGTTTTGTTTTGTTTTGTTTTGGGAGCAATAATATCAAATGCTAAACATATATTTCTATCTACAAATGTGGGAAAGGCTGCTCGTCACAATTTGGTTAATGTTGCATTAGCTTGATTGGGGCTATCATATCTTAATAAGGTGGATACAGTCATAGTTGTTCCATATATATATATATAATAATTGGTGATTAATAATAACAGATAAAAAGAGTCAGCATATTATTGGAATTAGACAAAAAGAAGCATCGTAAACTGAAGTGATCTTAACCAACGTATTGTCATTCATCCTTCATCCAAGTGAATTATCAATTAATCCAGTGAAGATTTACTAGGTAATCCAAAATCTAAACAAGATTTAGTGAAGAATCTAGTAGAGATATCCCTGATCACAAGTCATCATCATTGGAGGCTAAACAACATAGATTTTTAGGGACAACATCTAAATATATTTTGTTCTATATTTTTCTTGGGCTCAAAGACACAACGGAAAGAAAGAACAGGAGGATCATATTTGGCGCATTTCCCGGGAAATTTGCACGCCACAGGGAACTGACTGCTATTGTTGCCACCCGTCGTTCCATCCCTTCCCTCCCAAAACTAATAATGACAAGAATAAGAATGATGAACAAACACTGTCCTCCCAATCTTGGTTCTTCTTCTTCTTCTTGTTCTCCTCGAATCAACATGCACCCCACGTTTGATCCCCTCAAAAAAAGAAAGCAGGAAGTTCTCCTTTTCCCCTCCTCCTCCTCCTCCTCTGCTTCTCAACTGCTACATACCATAGCAGAAAGGAGAGGCTAAATAACCCACCCGACTTCCTCAGCGCTTCCTCCTCATCAGGAAGTTGGGCCTCCTCCTCCTCCTCGTTCTCCCATCCACATCCACTCGACTCTCTCACCCTGAGCATCATTCCCCGGCAACAAAGCTCTCACCTTGCCGTTGCCTTGCGACTCTTCCTTGCCTCCCAATCTCATCTCAAGCTGTCAAGTTGCCACCTTTGACGTCGGTTCCATCTCCGACTCTTCTCTCTCTCTCTCTCGATCCCCCCAAGTCATCAAGTTCACACCTTTGCGTTCCACCATTACTCCGCACTAAATTCCATTCGGAAAGAAAGCTTCTTGGCCCCAGCTCTTCCTCTCGGAGATTTGCTACGCGCTTCTCGCGCACTCTGCAGTCGAAGTTTGTATCACTGAGTCGAATGATGGTTCGGTTTCTCAGGCGGGGGCACAGCCTTAACAAGCCGGAGCAAGGCGAGGAGATGTTTCATACGGCAGCAGAGGGTAGCACAGTCTTCTATAGCCAGGGAGGGGGAGAGGGCCGCTCACTCGAAAGGCAGCAGATTGGCTGCGCACTCGATCGGTCGTCCGACAGAGCTCCAAAGTCCCGCTTGGGCAGGGAAAGCGGCTGCCGTCACGGGCCACCTTCAGGTGAACGACAATATTCCCACATGAAAACGTTCATTGCGGCTAATACGTCTGCTTAGAGAAGCAAAAACATGAATGTAGAAGGAAGTCTGGCTACAGTTACAGAGTATGATTGAGATGCTAAGCTTTGACACATTTGGCACCAAGAGATTCTGCATATTTAAGAATACGTATGCTGAGGAATCAATCTCGCTTGACACATTCCTCTAATCATTGGTTTCCGGTGCAGATATGGACCAAATGAAGGAAAAGTTTGCAAAGCTGCTTTTAGGTGAAGACATGTCGGGCGGTGGAACAGGCGTCTCATCAGCTCTTGCTCTGTCCAATGCCATCACCAATCTTGCTGGTATAGTTCCTTTCCCCAGTTCGCTGAATCGAAGCAATTCTACTGAGTCATCATGCAATGCAATGTTACCGATTGGTATCTTTGATGAAAAGCTCTCATGATTCTTTCATTAGCATGATAGATCTCGATTGAGGTCAAATTTTTTACTTATTTTAACCGTAGAACTTATATTTTTCGGCAAACTATCATCGAGGCAGAGGAGCCAAGGAAACCGCTTCATTTTCTTCTGTCGAGAGGTTTCTTTCTCGCATAGACTCTATCTGCCACTTGATGATTGAAATCCAACTCGGGGACTGATTACACGACTTTTGAATGATCGAAAGCCGATCTTTTGATACCTTCTGTTTCTTGATTAATGCAGCTTCTGTATTCAGCGAGCAACGGCGCCTCGAACCCATGGCAGCCGAAAGGAAAACGAGGTGGAGGAAAGAAATCGATTGGCTTCTATCTGTCACCGATCATATCGTAGAATTTGTTCCTTCTCGTCAAACCTCAAAGGATGGATCCAACATGGAGGTCATATAAGCACTGCCTCCTTTTCTTTTCTTTTTTGTCCAACACCTTTCTTTCAGAACATGCAAAAATTAGTATTTCCATGGAAACAATTTTGCCTCACAGATCATGGTAACTCAGCAACGCAGAGATCTTCAAATGAACATCCCCGCACTGCGAAAGCTCGATGCAATGCTCATCGTAAGACCGTCCAGCCATGTTCTCGAAGACAACCTAAAGCCAAAGTTTGTCCACCTATTGACACTGTCGTCTTCCCTTTCTTTCGATGTCTCAGGGCTATCTTGACAACTTCAAAGGCCACAGTGAGTTCTGGTACGTGTCGAAGGATGCTGATGAGTCCGAGAAGGGAAATGCTAAGAGAAGTGATGACAAATGGTGGCTTCCGATCGTGAAAGTTCCTCCAAATGGGCTTTCTGAGGTTTCCAGAAAATGGCTGCAATTTCAGAAAGAGTCTGTCAACCAAGTTCTCAAGGCAGCTATGGCCATTAATGCTCAGGTTTTAATGGAAATGGAAGTCCCCGAGGCCTACATCGAATCCCTACCAAAGGTAGACACTTCCATCAGTGTATAATTTGAGACTGAATGTGACATCTGGTCATCGGTAGATGCTTGAATCTGTTTTTTCTCTTAATAGTCTATGATTTCCAACTTTCGATCCAACACATTCCTTTTTCTCTGTTTTTTGATATCATACATAAATCTCGATCTTACTAATGATTCGAAGATTTTCCTGATTTCCAAGAAAACCTGTTGGGTCATTTGATGTTCTACCGTATGGTGTTGAGTTGGATGCTTCTAAATGCATCACAGAACGGGAGAGCAAGTCTCGGGGATGCAATCTACCGGTGCATAACCGATGATGCCTTCGACCCTGACCAATTCCTGAAATCCATGGATCTGTCGACGGAGCACAAGGTCCTCGATCTCAAAAACCGAATCGAGGCATCGATCATCATTTGGATGCGAAAGATGCACAACAAGGATACTAAATCATCCTGGGGCTCAGCGGTCAGCGTGGAGAAGAGGGAGCAGTTTGAAGAGAGAGCCGAGACCATCTTACACCTCATCAAGCAGAGATTCCCTGGAATTCCTCAATCGGCTCTCGACACGAGCAAGATCCAATACACCAAAGTAAGTACTCAAACTTGCATCAAGCCCGATCTCTTGCTTCTCCTTCATCATGTTCCCAAGTGTTTTGATCTTTGCGCAGGATGTCGGGCAGTCGATCCTAGAAAGCTACTCGAGGATCTTAGAGAGCTTGGCTTTCGCTGTGATGTCGCAAATCGAAGATGTCCTTCGTGCTGACTCTCTCACACAAGACCCGTCCCATGCGAAATCGGGTAGAAGGCAATCGTTGACCGACTCAGAAGTTGGACCGGTGAAGAAATTGGATCCGAAAGAAGAGATGGAGAAGCTCAAGGAAGCACCTAATTCGATGACACTATCGGATTTCATGGGATGGCATTTCGATCCCGACTCCGAGGCAGAAAAGAAGAACTCAGAAAGCTTAGAGGACGGCGCCAAGATAAAGAAACCTCCTAATATCGTCACGACCAAGAAATTCTCGTATATTGAAAAGCTCGAGAACTTGCGAAGCTTGCGAAGCCCGACAGCTCGCCATTAAAAGACCTGTAGAGAGCATAGGGAGAGGAAAGTGATACTGATAGGGAGGGGAGTCAGCTTGGAACCGAGAGTGTAAATAGTTCAGGGGCATGTTAGATCCTTGATAGCTTCTACCGTTAAGCTAATCTTTCATCCCTCTTTGTAGATGGGGAGGTGCTACTCTCATGGCTCAACCTCAGCTTGTGTCGATCACCTGATGTGCTCGTTAGGTAGTGATAACAGTCTCTTTCCAAACTACATGCATTCTGTGAACCACAATGTCCGAGAACAAAGAAGATGGAAACATTAGCATGTGGTTTGTCTCTGATTCGTTCATTACACACGGACAAATCATTTTGAGGATGCCATCAAAGATAGATTGAGATCATAATGCTCAAAATAAACATATCCAGATCGTTTGCCATGAGTCTTGCTTATCTATTGTATTGCTTTGGTGCACGTAAATGTCCATTACATACGATTTCATGCTTGTGCAAATATGTCAGGCATGCATGGAGTGTGAGGTGGCACCACACTACCAAGTGGAAGAAGGCCTGCAAGGCACTAAAACAGTTCATATGGAGTTGGAAACCACCATGCTCTCGTTCCCTCTTTTATCTTCTTTACCATGATTGCACCATCAAGGACCTACATCTCACTTGCAGAAATGTTTCAGGTGTCTGCACCTGCCATCATAGTTCTTGCACCAGATGCTGTCA